CACGCGTAAGCGCAAACAAGACTGCTCGTGTATCAGGGCAAAGCCCTGAATGTTCCGACTATCCCTTAATTCATATCAAATAGTTTTTGGTAAAGGAAAATATTGAAAACCTATAAATTTTGGACAGTATCAAAGTGTAAAATTTTGAGCCGTACGAAATTAATACGACCAATTAGCTAGCCTCAATTCAATTTGGAACGATTTTGTTGTGCGGGATAATTCGCCGCGCATAAATAGTTCGCGTTAAACTAACATCAATATGAATAAATTCTTCACAGTCTGCTTAATTTAGTCCAAAACATGGCCAATTTGGTAAACTTCAAACCCCAAGAATTTTCCAAAAAAAAATCGGTTGGTAAACTATCTTCTTACATTTGAACACAGGAATCTAATATCTTCGATGGAATATAAAAATTTTTTGTTGAAAACTATTTTTTTGATCGGCAAAAATTGACCGAATAAAAAAAATTACAACGAGCATAAGTATTCCATTTTCTTCGAAAGTCGGAACAATTATTTATGCTAACAAAAAGAGCGTTATTACAATAACAAAATCATGAAAATCCTACTGCCCTTAGAGTATCTTCAGCAAATTGAGGAAAAGTTACAAAATTAATTAAAAACAGTAGAAAGGTTTAAAACCTTTCTGTTCCGACTTTCGTAACAAAAGTAACAGAATATTTTTGTGCTCCGGGTGGGTTTTCTTTTTCAGACAAATTTTGACTTTTTAACTAGCCAGTTTTGACCGATTTTTTAAAATATCAGTTGAAAAGTATTATTGTGAGCTTGAATTTGAAAAGATATTTCACCTTTAATTTTTTTGTAAAGTAATGGGGGTCATTTTGGCCAATTTGGGACAATTAACGCGCAATATATTTCGCGCTATTAACGCGTGAGCGGATATTTAATCTGTCTTTAGAATTAATCCAATTGGTTAAAAGAAGCTTAATTGTCATAATTGATTTATTAAAAGGAGCAATATCTATCTTTTTGTAGCTTATATGGCGTGTGGGGGATGATTTTCACAAAAAATTTCAAAATTTAGAAAAAAAATTCATTTTATTTTATTACATTTAATTTTTTAATGTTATTACTGCTCCATAGACATTAAAAGGCTGTCGGAACAATCAGGGCTTCGCCCTGATACGAGCAGTCTTGTTCCTTTTTGTTGTTAAATCTACTCGTGCACGTAAAATCAAGTAGAAATTGTTTCAAGTCCTTTCTAATAACCATCTATTGTTTCAAGTTCCCAAGAAAGTGAATGAGTTTTTACGCTTGAGATGTTTTTTGTAACCAGACTCATTTCAACATTTGGATTTATTTTTTAAACGAGTTTTTTGTATAACTTCGGCAAAACATCAACGTCTTGAGCTTAAGTTTAGAATATGACCTTTCACATGTGAATCTCCTTCATGAAAACACGGGGTAAAAACTTTGAGCTTATAACACCTCGTCATCACTGCGGCGCGGTAATCGTTTTTTGTTAGCGCTGCTTCCCACTTTAATGAAATTAAAGTTAAGTCTAAGCCAATTAAAGTACCCTAATTTGTCCAAATAACATTTTAGTTGGAGCCTAGGAAATTAGACGATAAGCAAATTAGACGGATGCTACAAAAACGAAATTAGACGAATTTTGTTTTACAGATCTGGCATTTTAGACGTCGCTGCTATGAAAAGGAAAGGGCCAACAAAATTTTTCTTAAAAATCAAGTTTCACATCATAAACATAAAATGACATCCCCTATCGAAACAATTAATTTGAATGAACATAAAATGTCAAATCTGAATATTACAGAAGAGTTTTGAATTGAAAAATTATGCATAATGGACATGTAATGTTTACGTTCATTTTTTAAAAATTTCGGCAAATAACGCCTATTTTTTTCCAATAAATGTCCAAACTGATAATATTTTCCTCAGAAATGTTTTTCAATCGCTGGTTTTTGGCATTGAGCAAACGCCACTTTTTTCTGTGGAGGTGGAGGTTCACCTTTCAAACTTTTTGAGTATACTTTTTTTGTGATTTTTTCCTGTTTTTTCAACTGTTTCACTACTACCCATAAAGATGGGTGGTTTATTCCAATTTTTCTGTCCCAGGAAGCATGCCATGATTCGCAGGCGTTTGCTGTTTGGAGATTTGTGGTCTATCATAAACGTTTCACATAAAAAGTCCAGTTTTTTGGACAATTTTTTTTCGACATAATTGACCAAATATTCGATTTTTGGGAAAAAAATTTTCAGTCTTGGGTATAAACTAGATTGTTCTAAATTGTCAAAATTTGAAATCGCATGGTTGATTTCGAAAATTTTGCGACAAAGTAACTGAAACGGACGATTATTTTTGTAGGCAATAATAAGACCAAAACTTTGAGTTTTTTGAAAAACTGCTTGAGTGTAATGAAAATAACAACCCAAATGATCGACTTGTGGCATCAATTTTTTCACTGCGGCGATGAAACCAGTCTCGTAATCGGATATAATAAAACTTGGTTCAAAATTTTTCAACAAAAAAATTTGACATTTTCGTCAATTTTTTCTAACAAGTTTTGGTAAGCTTCCTCTGCTTACTCCACAGAATATTTTATAAACTTGACGAAATGGTTTTGGTGCAGTCTTGAAAGTTCCGTCACACAAATTTTTTGGCTTTTTTGCAAAAATTGCTGCTTTTTTAGCGAACAAAAAATCACTAATCCAACATCTTGATATAACACAAAATCTTGATTGTCGCTCGTTCTATTCCACATGCCTACTATTTTCACATTCTGTAATCTTCTCGGAATTTTGAGCAAAATTTGGTATTTTATTTTTTTTTAGTAGCCTGCTGCTAATTTTGTGATGATCCGATGGATTTTCGATTTCCCAATTCAGTTTAACTTGCTCGTCGTAAATCATTTTCACCGGTTTTGTCCGATCATTTTGGATTTTGGTCAGAATTTTTTGGCGAAATTGTTTTTCGTCGTTGTACATAAGGTCGGTTTTGTTACTATGGTCGCCTGATTTTCGAATACTTTTTGTAAATTCTAAATTTATCTTTGATCTTCCGAAGCAATTGGAGATAACACAGCGATAGTTACAACCAAATTTGGTTCTGCTATTTTTTAAAAATCTACAATCTTCATCGGTAATAAGATTTTGTTCACCTCGATATTTTGAAACTTTGCATTTTTGGCTACCGAAATTTAACTGTCAGTAAACAATATTGTTTTTTGCAGTTTGTCTGCAATAATTTTAATCTCTCTCACTTTCGTCTATTTTCTCACAATTGCAGTTTTAAAAACTCGTCTAATTTGGTTCTAAGTGCCTCCATCTAATTTGCTTACCTTCTAAGTTCTCAAACCCCGTTTAATTTGAAGAAAAAGAAATCTTTCGTTAAATGGGTGAAAATTGAAAATTTTCTCAATGATTGTCAAAATTTTAAACCTAAATTCACTTCAATTAACCTGGCCTGCATTCGGAAAAATCAGGGCTACGTTTTTTCCGATCAATTCAGTTTGAATTGATTTGTTTCGCGGTAAATGCACCGTTTTAAAATATAAATGATAAGAAGCTTCTCCCAGATTGCCAATTTTGAAACCCTAATTACTTATCAAGACTGCTCGTATCAGGACAAAGCCCTGGATGTTCCGACTGCCTTTTAAGGTCTATAGAGCAGTAGTAACATAAATATCATTAACATATTAAATGTAATCAGCTAAAATGAAAAAAAAAATTTACTAAATTTTGAAATTTTTTCGTTGAAAATCATCCATCACACGCCATATCTATCAAACAAAAATAAATTAACGTATACAATGTTTTAGAGAATATACCCTCTTAAAGTTTGTTGGGCTACGTAAGCGGCTCACTTTGATATAATTATGTCTGTGATCGACTGGGTATTTTTGGCGTAATTTTTGATTAAATAAGAAAAACCAAAATGACCCATTTTCGTGGTAAAAATTTGGGCCCGAAATTTGCAAACACAAATTACACCATCTTAATGCTGCTAAAATTTTAAGCATTAAGCAAGCTTTGTTTTCATAGGTTTTCACTTAAACTCAAGCCAGTTTGAGAAAAACGCGTTTTAAAGTTCAAGTTGAACGCGTTTTGTCCGGTTAATTTACATCAGCACTGTATCTTTTCAAATTTAAGCTCGGGACAACAATAACTTTTGAATGATATATAAAAAATTCCGTCAAAAATGGCTAGTTAAAAAGTCGAACTTTGGCTGAAGAAAAAAAACCCACTCCGAGCACAAATATTCCGTTATTTTCGTATCGAAAGTCGGAACAACAACACATGGCTGCTGTTCTTAAGATGATTTTAAGAAATTCGTTAATTGATTTCGAAATTGATTTAAATAATAGAAACACATAAAATGAACTATTTATGGACTGTCAAAATCATATTGTAAGATTTAACGTTGGAGTCGTATAAAAATGCAAATTTACCAATTACTCTGCCTCATTTCAATATGAAACCGTTTCGAGTGCCAAATAATTCTGCATGAACACAGAGTGGAGTGGGGCTTCATGATCCTTCAAAAAGCGGTTAAGATTGTACAAAACATGACAAAACTAGCAGTTTTCAAGCCCCTGCAACTTACCCGAAAGTTAATTCTGGTAATATATCTGTTGCCATGTGAACTGGTGGAGTTATTATTTAATAGAGCAAGACTTAGAGAGGGTGAGCGAGACTTCCGTCAGCCAACACATTGCAAAATTTAAGTGTTTTCCTCTTCTTCATTTTTATCGTCCTTTGTATACTACTCCAGGAAATGGCGAAAAATGAACTGAAGTTTAAATCAAGACTTTCATTCAGCCATATCAAGAAATAACGTTGCTTAATTTCGAAAAATAGCTTTACTTTGATGTTACATCAATTTGAACTCAAAACTCTCCGTCTAGCAAACTACCAATACAGGAGTGCCACGTCTCAAGGCCATTTGGCTTCTGATTTATAGATAGCGATAAGCAAAAGCAATTTGACTCTTCCAGGTCAATTAAGTTCATTCAAAATTTACTAAGGGCTTAACTTCGCTCATTCAGAATAACAATGATTCGAAGTCTAATCTAAGAATTTCTGACATTTCTGAGTCAAGAAAACCGTTTGTCAAACAATCCTTTTATAGGTTTTTCCAGTTTGAGAATAACACGCCATCACGCCATCTGATTATCAATTCGAGGACAACGATAAGAAATTTAAATCTTCCCCATAAGACCCAGCTGCTCATTCAAAACTGACTTCGCCTTTCGAGTAGTTGCACCACATTTGACCAATCATCGAGTTTACTTCATTTATTGCTCACAAAAATTTAAAATCAGGTAATTTTTGCTTTTGCAAGTTGGATGTCTAAATAGATCAGCATTCTCAAATTTTTGCAACATTTGTGATTAAAAATCAAATGGCTGCGAAAGCTTTTCTAAGAAAATTTGGAGCTAGTTTCCACTTGTTGGGCTCAGGAGTGGCTTCATCATGGGCGTTTAGAAATATAAAGTCGCCCACCTTGTTTTTTGAAGAGCATCCGTGCTCTTTTGACAGAAAGCGCCTTGAAAGTAATCTTTTGCATTTTTCTACCAGAAACAGAAATATTATGATTTGGTTTTCATCGACATTACAGGTCAGACAAGTCAAAGTTAACATTGATCTACGCTCCTGGGTTAACAAAAATATTTTCTCAAACTGATCTCTGGATTTAAACCAATGGACCCCGGTCAAGATTACGTTCAATATTTGAGCGTTTTGCGCGTTTTTTTGAGACCATTTATGCTATTTTTTTTTTCAGATCATTTAGAAAAAATGTTCAATTCTAATAAACAACCGCTAAGACTGCTCAAAGTTTGAGCTATTTGAAAAATTTCTCCTGAGATGTCTTATTTGATGCAGGTCAAAGACAACCACCAGCCTAAGAAAAATCTAAGCTTCATACCTAAGCAAGCACAATTGCTAAAATCATGCTAAAATGCAAAGCTTTAATATTCTGGGGCCACAAAAACTGTCAATTCTGGCTACGTTTCTTACAAAAAAATTAAACCGCTAAACCGTTCAAATTTGTTTTCGAAATTTTTGACTCGAGGGTAAAATTAAAATAGCTGACTGCTTTGCATCTAACCCAATCTTTAAAAAACGCTTTGAAAACAATATACATTGCAAAAACAAAAAACAAAAAAATTACTTATTTCTAGGTTAAAAATCATCTTCGAGGTGTAAACGTTTCGAAATAGTTTTGGAAAGTCACCAAATATTTACAGATCAATGATTAGCAATCAATCAATAGCACCTCGAAAACTAAAAATTTCCGATAGCTTATTGATTTGGACACCGATGAACACGTTTTTTCTACGGTCACAAAATAATTTGCTTGGGTCGAACAGTCGAAAACTTTTTTAGTTGGTCGAGTCAATGGAAACAAAAAATTTGGTTCGATTTTTTCGACACATCGGTTATTATCAATTCAAACATCGTCAACAAATTTTAATTTACTATGTTCGCTCAAAACAAAGACCGCAATTTCCCGCAATTTAAAACACTTTTACTTCTATCGAATCAGTCGATTAAGATTAACTAATATCTAGTCATTTTTGGAGTAATTGCGCAAAACTCCTCGAGCCAAAAACTGAAGTGATTGGAAAATGATAATTGATAAATGATAATGTGTTTGGCTAAAATGTTTTCAGCAAATGAAACATTCGAACCTGCGCGAACAATTAAACAAAGCGTTTTTTTGTTTTATACAAAACCAACAACTTTCCAAGATTAATCAAGCCTTTCTTTATGACTAGAATGACCGATATAAATTGGGGCTGGAAGAATGAGCTGTACAGTGCCAAATCACCACGGGAAGAACTGGCTTATTACGAGAAGACAGCCAAAGACTATGAGTTTGAGTTCAGGGGGATGCTGAAGTACTGTGGGCCTGAGATGTGCATGCAGACTTTACTTGACTGCGAAACACAATTGGGTGAGAATAATTTCCATGTCTTTAATTGTTTGATGCAAAAAAGGGAGTGGTTTATGTAAAAGTGGGAGCGGCGGTGAAGTGGTTAAGTCTCCACCTATCAATCAAAAAGTCGAATGTTCGAGGCCCACCATGATCCGTGCTCGTTTTTTGAAGGTGAGGCGACAGTACCCAGCCCAGAAAATAACCAGTAACACTGCTTGTAGTTCTTAAGCAAGGGCAGAACAGCGGCGATTCACCGTGATGAGCTGTACAGCTCGTATGTTGGTCCTTTCCCTCGTGGATAAATGGTCTTAAATAATGATAAAAAAGATTCGTTTAACGTTTTAAACGCAATATAATAAGGAAAGTGTAACAGTTTGGTATTGTGCAGCTTACAACCATTTTGTGTGGATATAATTTTTGTCTGGTTTTCGTTTATTGTACTTTACCTTTCATACGTTTCAAGAGTTCGTGGTGCCTCGAAACTGCAGAGTTTTGGACGTCGGAGCAGGCACAGGACTGAGTGGAGAAGCTTTAATGAGAGAAGGCTTCATCGGAAAAATCGACGCACTTGAACCATCAGACAATATGTTTTCACTGGCACAGGCAAAAGGAATCTATTCACATCGTTATAATGACCTCATTTTCCCAGATACGGTTAGTACAAACAATAAATATGCAAAAATTTATAATTTAGGATCCAGAAAATTGAAGAATAACCTTCGAAACTTCAAAATTTAAGGAAAAAAATATCCGATATTATCTAAAATTCTACATATAAAGTATTTATTGTATTTAAAAGAGCATTGACATCCTGAAACTATGCAAACGTTTGCAACGCTATTTTAGGAAGAAACTATCAACAAAACGGCTCGTATCAGGACAAAGTCCTGAGTTTTTTTTAGCCTTGCCTTAGTGTCTAATGTAGATTTTGGCAGAAAATGTTAATATCTTCAAAAATAGATCAACCTTTCGTTATCCATCTCTCCAGACAATTTTTATTTCAAACTGAGAAATCATGCGTTATTGGAAACTATTTTTGATCTTTTAGTTTGACTCTAATCAAGTTGGCGGAATTTTTTAGACCGAGCGTTAGCATAATTTTGAAAATACTGCACTAATGAGTAACCCCTAACTAGTAGCCTTCGCACCCTCATTATTTATGACAAATAATCAAGAACGATCATTTTTTTGAGATTAGAGCCTAGGGCATGAATATCTTTCAAACTGTATTAAATTCAGGAAAAGCTTGCTAGATAGAAAAAACGAATGAAGAAAAAACTACCCGAGCACAAGTTTTCTGCCTTTTTCTCCGAAGCTTGGAATGCGGTGTAGAAAAATTAATGTCATTTAAATGTAGTATTTGTAGTTATCTCAAAAATCAGGTTTTAGCAAAAGCTTCCTATTTCTGAGGCCAAAAACAGTTCAATTTGACTAAAAAAGTTAACAAAAATATATAATTTTGACTTCACAGAGAAATGGATTAGGTTTTTGGATGATTTATGGGAGCTTTGAAATGAATACTTCCAAAAAAGAAAAAAAGAAACATTCTTGAACACTGAGCTGGCTTCAATGAAAAATAATCATTTAAACATATTTTTTGCTTGGAGCATTTTTAATTGTTTGATTATTTTTCAAAAGCATAAATTCAAATTGGTTGAATCGAATTTCACCGTAATCTTTTATGAAACAAAGCCTAAGTAGTGAAATGATTTTGCCTCAAGAGGCAAGGGACTTGATAAAACTTTCACGGAAAGGTAATTAGCGTAAGCTAAAAATATTCGGAAAAAAATCCGTTTTATTGTAGTTTTGACTAAGTGAACAAATTCGAAAATTATACGCTTCTATTTATATTATGAATTTATGCGATTGATATTCTTGAGACCTATAAATACGCAAAATAGGCGCTTCCCGCATGACACCAGCGCTTAGATTTTAAAAAATAACAAGACTGCTTGTATCAGGGCGAAGCCCTGAATGTTCCGACTGCCTTTTAAGGTTTATGGAGCAGTAATAACATTAAAAAATTCAATGAAATAAAACAAAATGGAAAAAAAAAATTTCTAAAATTTGAAATTTTTTATAAAAATCATCCCCCCACACGCCATAAAAAGTACAAAAGGATAGAGTTCGCTCCTTGTAACAAACTAATTATGGCAAATAGGCTTCTTCTAACCAATTTGAAACGATTTCTACGTTGGATTAACTCTCCGCTTACGCGTTAATAACGCCAAATATATCGCGCGTTAATTGTCCCAAATTGGCCAAAATGGCAATCTTTAAACCCCCGTAACTTTACGAAAACTGATCACAGGTAAAATATCTTTTCAAATTCGAGCTCAGGACAACAATACCTTTCGAATGATATAAAAAAATTCCGTCAAAAATGGCTAGTTAAAAAGTCGAAATTTGTCTGAAGAAAACAAACCCACCCCGAGCACAAATATTCCGTTACTTTCGTATCGAAAGTCGGAACAACAAGACTGCTCGTATCAGGGCGAAGCCCTGAATGTTCCGACTGCCTTTTAAGGTTTATGGAGCAGCAATAATAACATTTACAAAATTAAAGGAAATTAAAAAAAATGAAATTTTTTTTTTCTAAAATTTAAAATTTTTTATGAAAATCATCCCCCCACACGTCATATAAAGTACAAAAAGATAGATTTCGTTCCTTGTAACAAATCAATTATGACAAATAAGCTTCGTTCAACCGATTTGGAACGATTTATAAGACTGATTAAACCTCCGCTTACGCGTTAATAGCGCGATTTATATCGCGCGATAATTGTCCCAAATTGGTCAAAATGGCCAAAATGGCAATCTTTAGACCCTCATAACTTTACGAAAAATGATCACAGGTGAAATACTTTTTCAATTTTAAGCTCAGGACAACAATACCTTTTGAATGATATAAAAAAATTCCGTCAAAAATGGCTAGTTAAAAAGTCGAAGTTTGTCTGAAGAAAAAAAAACCCACCCCGAGCACAAATATTCCGTTACTTTCGTATCGAAAGTCGGAACAATAATTTAGCCACTCAGAATTGAGTATAAAGTAAATCGGGAAAGTAATCAAAATTGAATCAAGCGAGGAAAGTAAAATCAGCATTAGCAAAATTCGAAGCTATCAAAATTCAACTAAAACCAGGCCATTGCACCAATTACAAAAAATATTGCGCCATCAAAACAATTTCTTTCATATCTGCTATGAATGTCAAAAACATTAAATTGTTCACAAATTTTTTTTGTCATTAGCGTTCATTTCATGGTTTATCTTCAACGAACCTACCTTTTTAAAAAAACATTTCTGTATCTAGTTGTCTAAAAACATGAAACTGCAATCAAAAATACTAGGCAAATTGTTCTCAATCATCATTCTAACCTGTTCAAAAACGATCGACAAATTACCACTGATTGTTTTTTGTTTCAGGAGACATCGGTTCCATCATGTTCTTATGATTTAGTAATCTCAATTGGAGTATTCAACACGCGCTCAACCACGTTAGCAAAAACGATGTTTCATTTGCCTAGCTTTTAAACTGATCAAATGAACAGTAAAATTTTTTTCTAGAGTAGATTTCCTTGATATGTATTCGAACTTTTTTCTGCATAACTTGTTGACTGAAACATTTTCCAAGATGACTCAATGGTCAAAAAATAAATTGAAAAAAATCTCAATTTTCATGAAAAAGATTTTGATTCATTTTAAATTCAATTCTCAAAAATCTGCACTGAAAAACTCTATATCAAATCCGTCTTGATCTAATTAAATAAACAATAGTATTCTGTTACAAAATTTGTCTGGTGCGAATCGCTGCGTTGAAAAGTGATTTGCATAATTTTTTAGCTCACACATTTTTCTACGTTTTCAGAAGTGACTGCCTTTGGGAAGTTGTCAGAATGGCAAAGCATGGCGGATACCTGTCTATATACTTCAATAAATTACACTGGGATCAAGGCTGCTTCAAAGAACGACTGATAGAACTAGTGGCGGCGAAACAAATTCAAATTCTATCGCTCGAGTATAAACCATACTACGAGGAAAATGAGGCGGTATCGTTTGTACTGAAAAAATTGTGAAAAAAAAACTTTACGATAAGAACAATGAACTTTTATTGTAAGATTTTGAATGATTTTGTTTGTATAAAACCTGATTTCAAATGAATAAAATAATTGTTGATGAATGAAATGAGATAAGTTCAGTTAAGTGCTTTGAGACCTGTTTTTTGGTGGCATTTTCAAGATCTCGAAATTACGCATTAGAGCAAGCTAATCAGTAGTCTTTCAACGTTAGTACACCAATGTTCCTAACTGACAACCGTAGACTAGATCATACCGATCTGAGTCGCCTTCATTCATAGGTTCAAAACTAATCAAGGCTAGACTTGGTGGAAGCGTGATAAATAAAAGCATTATCATCAAAGATTGCGCCATAAAAAATGAAATCATTTCAAAAAGTCTACTGATGTGCTAGAAAAAACTTTTATAAGAATTAGATCTCCTGACAGATATATTTCATAATCGATGAGTGGACGTATCTTAAAAGTATCACAAAGATAGTGAATAATTAAAAAATAAATGGAATAATTAGATTAAATAATATTTTTATTTAAAAAAAATTGAAAGAAAACAGAGCATTCAATTTTTTTGCTGCATACTGAATTTGGCCGGTAACTTATTTCCGAAAACATGTCTGATTTCATAACCTGCAATAAATTTTGAAGCGGATAATCAGAAAACTAGAACATTAAATTTTTGTGCTGAAACCAATTTCAATTGAGGATTATCTCAGCACAAATTTAATCTCTGTTATCTGATTTGAGTCGGAACTAAATTTCAAAGATTTTGCATACAACACAGTGTGCGGGTGTTTTTTTTTGTTCGGACCATTAGAAAAATGTGGGGAACTTTGCATCCGGACGTGTTTGTTGAAATGGGTCGAGTGATATATCAAGTTAAAGCCTTTTCAGTTGTTGTTAGAATAATTTTTCTCAACGCCGAGAAAAACTGGTTTGAAATTTTTGAGTTTTGGTCTAATTTTGAGCTAAGAAGGCGGGCGTGCAGGTTAAAAAAGCTTGTTTAAGCGTAAGTTAAGCCGTAAAAATTCAGTTATACCCGATTAAAATTCGGTTTGGGAGTTTTTTAACGACATTTTGGGATTGAAATACGTCAAAAATTCAAAACGATTCAAAAAAGAGTAAAAAACAAACACATTAAAAACAATTAAATTGTTTTTACCATATTTTTCTACGCAAAAGCCTATTTGAAGAGTTTAATGAACACATGCATATGCCGCCCTTTTGTTTGAGAGAGAAGGAGCAACTACGAGAGCATCTTTTTGCTACGATAACTGTGATTGTTGTTGTCGTTGTTGTTGCTGTTTTTGTTGTTTTTGCGATGATTGTGATTTGTCTGGCTCTCGCCTACTGTTTTTTTTAGTAATTTTTTGTTCTTTGTAGTTGTGAATTGACGGTAGCTCCATTACGCCCGATTGCTTTTGCTGCTACTGTTTTATTATCTTCTTGGCTTTGATTCTATTTACGATAGTGTTTATATCGTCATAATTTCGTAGTAATATTTCAACTGAATTTTTGAGCAAAATTAATCATTTCAAAACGTGTTGGTATTTGGAAGCCAAATTAAATATTTATCCTTTAATAACAAGTCTTTCAAAAGCTGTAAAATGTATGTTGTTGAATTCCTATCACCATTTTCTGCTGATGATATAACCACGCCAATTTTTTTTGTTTTGCCATTCGTGTTTAGAAAAACGTCAAGATGTTTGTCTAATAATTTTTAAATATTCAATTCGCTCTTGTAGGCGCTACTGCATGATCGGGTAGTAAGAATTGATTGTTGTCTTTCAGCGCAGGTTTTCTTGTCCTTCTCCTCCTGTTCCTCTCTTTTTGCCATTTTGATGGCTTGTGTTGGTTGTTGATGAAGTGGTTGGCTAAATTTTTCACTTAGTCCTGCAGGCAATTTTCCTGTTGATCGTGTAGTAGTTAATTTGCAGGAAAAAAGCGACCAGTCTATGGTACAGCAAAAAAGTGCGGTTGAAAAAATCATGAGTATAATCACTCAGAAAAACATAGTTTTTTCAAACTAATACAAATCTTCCTGTTCATATGAGTTTTCTCCAGCAGAACCACATGACTTTTTTTATAACATCAGCATTTGTTTTTAGAGCAACAGCTTTCGTCATTATAACCTTTTTATAATTTTGCTGCAATGCTGTTGAGCAAGGGGAACATATTCTTGATCTCGTCTGCGTAATTCCAGAGAAGACATTGAAAACTGACAAAAACTAGACTGAATAGTTACTTTCTCGCTCAAATGATTTCGTAGTTTTTTTTTAGTTTGAGTAGACTGTCAAATCGACGCTAGTGGAGGTCTTAGTTTTTGCCTTTCTTGTTTTTCGTTATTTGAGTCTGATTTAAGGGCAAGGGAAACATTCCAGATTTTGCCCTGATGCAGGCTGTTTTTTTTGAACGTTGTTTTAAAATCAATACAAGTTTAAATTCATACAAATACGTAGATATCAATATAGAACCGTATAAGGTATAAGCAGACGCAAACTTTATCACCTAATATTTCAGTGAGAAAAAGGGTGAAAATATATATTTTTTCAATTTGAGTTTTGAGGCAGTCCAACGGGAAGTTGGTAAAACATGGGCTTCACCTTGTTCATGAACGAGAAAAGTTTTGTTTCAGCATAATTGGTGCAACAAAAAAGTGTAAACGCTGAGTTTTTTTATGCAAACTCATTTTTATCAAGGAATTAAAATCAAAGTTGGGTTGAAAGAAATTGAGATTGAACATTTGGTATTTCAATTGGCAGCTGATCAACGTAATAATGAGATTAACTTGCTGGTGTCCACCTAGTAAAAAAAATATGTAATTTTAAACGCTACTACATATAAACATATATGTAAACGGAATCCGCAAAGAAAATGCGGATTCAATTTGCAATTTGCGGATTCCATTTACAATTTTGAGGATTCCGCTCACAGTTGCGGGTTCTGCAACAGCTCAATTAAACTGTACACTTTTCTAATTTTTTGTTCGTGGGTTCCACAAACTGTTCTAAATTTTGCAAATACGGTTGCGAATTTCGCAAAATCACCTATTTTTCGAGCGATTTTGAGCGGTACAATGTTTTAGGTGATTGTTCTTGGAATCCAAAACAGCAAGGAAGATCAAAGAAAAGTAGCATTGTTGCGCATTCCGTAAAAAATCCGATTTTGGACCTGTTTAGGAATCCGCTTACAATGCACAGAATGCACAGTTTGGCCTCGTAATGAGTTTTCTTAGATTCACTGCAAGATTCACTAAAAACAGATGTTTTCAATTTTAATTATCATTAAATAGACCAGAAAACAAAAATTCGGCGAGATTTCACAATTCAAAGTTTTTTCAGCACGAATGAAACTGCAGTGTTTCCTTCATAGTAGCCCCCTTTGAACTGGAGAGAGAGAAGCACTACCACCTTCTGGTCTACTAAACTGTTCAGAGTATCTTCGAATCCTCCTTGGTCCCAATAGTGTTTATTGAACAGGATGGAGAGGTAGCCCCCACTTTTTGCCATTCGGACTACTTCGGGAAGACATCCACTCCTGAAAAGAAAATAAAATAAAATAAAATATATATGGAAACGTATATTGGACTATTGTGCAAAAAATTTTCAATGCGGAAAAATTTTACAAAGGTCTTCGGCCCCCTGGATAGAGGTCGGTGGTTCGTTGAGGAAAAAGTTCCGAGCCCAGGAAAAATCATGCAGGTCTTAATCAGGGATACAAGAAAAGTTCTCCACTAGGAGTTAACTGTTTTGTTCTACTTTAAGATCTATTTTTGGTCGAACGACTCTTAGGCTTTTATGAAGGGGCCTTTGGCGACATATCTACATTCTGAGAGGATTTACCAAAAAAGCGATTTTTTGATAAACCCTTGCAATTACTCGCCAGCGGCGCAGTTGCTTTGGCAAAAAAAGAGCCTTGGTAGTGGGACCTGAGAGCTTTGAGATACATTTTTTTTTTGAAAATCCACCGAGAAAACCTAGATCCGTAACTGTCTTTTCATCTTGGATAAATGGTCTTAAACTATACATTTTAAAACTATTTTTCATCTGGTAATGATTTTTTAACAATCTGTCACATACGTTGTGGATCTCGTATTGAAAACTCCGACTGATATAACCAATTCGTACGAAGCAGCAGGCACAGTCGTTTCCTGAAACATTTCAAACCACCTACTTTTTGAATGCAGAAGTTTTTAGTGCAACCGGAATCATTGGCACAGGTTTTCCAGCCCATGATCAGCGTGAGGCGGAAATTCGAAACAGGCGTCGGTATTCACACATTTCGCCCCTCACACATTTCGCCCCTCATAAATTACTGGCACATTTCGTTCCACATACATTTCGCCCCCACGCAATTCGCCCCTAAAATTTACATTAAGAAAGCGGCGGTTAATTAACTGTGTAATAAGTTAGGGGCGAAACATGCGAGGACGAAATGTGTGAAATTATTAGGGGCGAAATGTGTCACTAGATTTAAGAGGGGCAAAGCGACATTCACAGGCTTCAATTTGTAACGGGCGACCTCTCGGCCCGGATATACGCGAAGCGGAGCAAGCGTGTACTACTTCCGTATAGCTTGTTGCGAATTTTCGCTTGTTACGAATTGTCGCTTTTACAAATTGTCGCTTTTTATGAATTGTCGCTTCTTACGAATTGTCGCTCTGCCCATGGCCAGACAACATGAATCATCCCCATGACAAGAAAGTAAGCCTTCAGAAGCATTTCTAATATTTTTACTCGTGTTGTGCTTCTTGATGACGATAACCAGCACAATAACCAAAATTTAAAAACTGACAAATATGAAATTCTTAGGATGTAAATTACTCAAGCGAGCACGGCAAGTTTGGCAACTTTCAAACCCCAGGAAATTTTCAAAAAATAATTGGAGGTAAAAGATATTTTTAGATTTGATATCGGGGAGTCGATAACTTCAATGGAGTAAAGAAATTTGAGTTGAAATCTATTAGTTTGATCGCCGAAACCCCAAGCATAACAATACTAAGTTATTAAATGAAAACCGATTTTTACCTTTTGAAAAACGGATTTCACAATGATTTGCCCTAATGACCTGATGATCTTGTTTTAATCTAGTGATTCGTAATTAATTGCTCCATAATTTTGAAATGTCGGCTTCCCTAAATTTAAACCTTATGAGGTAAAATGACCTTTTGTGCATTTTTTCGTAAGTATAGGCCAAAAAAGGGTGTTTTTGTTGCACGTTTCATTCTGAATATTAAATTAATGTATAATGACGCTCAGCCCACTTTATGATGTCAGACGCTCAGCACGATTTCATTACATCCGCCATGAATGCATGGAAGTTTTAGCAAAAAATGCAAATAGCAACACTTTTTTTTTAGCAAAAAAATGCAAATAGCAACGCTATTTGCATTTTTTTGTTAAAAGTTCCATACATTCTATATCCATATCTTAGATGTAGCATATACAACCAAATGGTATTGTTGTCCAGATCTTATATGCAGTCTCCCACAAACAAACGGTAGTGCTTACCTTGTCTGGATAAATGAGGTCTTTGTACCACTGAGTGTACAGATTTTTCTCAAGCGCCAGAGCATACATGTTTTCAGATGGCTCCAGTGCATCTATCTGGCCAGTGAACCCTGCTCTTCTCAAGGCCAGTCCACTCAAACCAGTCCCTGCACCCACGTCAATCACTTTACAGTCCCGGGGAATGTGAAAACCTGAAGAAGCGTTAATTAAATGATAGTGTTTGTAAAAAATAGTTTGAGAAGTTGACGGTTTATCTCTTATTGAAATAATGAGAGTTTGTAGTTACGCTCTAAATTTAGCGCGCATCATACAACTTCGTAATTGAAGGAATCCGTTTTTCAAACTAAAGAATGCTTTTTAAATGGCAGAAGATTTAGTGATTGGTTAATTTGTGAGCTAATTTAAGACTATTTAACCTTCTATTAAAAATAAGCACGCAATAAAAATCTGATTTCTGGATTGTTTCAGCTCACTATTTCATGCGGTTTTTGTCTGCAGTTTTTGGATTGTTTTTAAGCGCAATTTTTTTTTTTTGATTTATCAAGAAGTTAATCCATTTTCTGTTTCCATGATTATCTTATATCTCCAGTATCTTTATTTTCAATTTCACAGTGTCTGCTTCGAAAATAGAAACATTCGAAGAGAAAAAAATTGCGGCTCTCCTTGCGCACCATGTTTTTGTTCACACTCAAGCAGCGACTGCATGCATGCCTCTGGACCAGAGTACTTCATTTTCTTGAAGAAGTCATCTTCATACTCTCTGGCTGTCTTCTCGTAGTATTCAAGTTCCTCTGAAGCACTTTTGGCAGTGTACAGATTTTGTTTCCAACTATCAGTCATACCGGAAGCACCTAATATTACCTAAGAATCAAGTTTATGTTATGACCAGGTGTGGATTTACGACTTTTTCGAGGGTTCTTGAAACCCTCTCTTGAACAAAAATTTCTGCAAAGCTACAACAACGTTGTCGGTGATCTGTTTTTAATCATAAGATAATCAAGCAAATTGGCCATGGCCACTTAATCAGAACACATACTCGAAAGTTCTTTTTATCAATTTGATTCAGGAGCATTGCTTTTCTTTTTTAATCAAAAAGACGCGGGTTTTCAACGGGAAGCTCAATGCTAAAATTAGGCTAAAATAGCGTCAAGGAGAGTTCGAAATTTTTACGGTGAGTCGTCGATTTAAATATCAATCGAAAGGTATTGTTGTCCTGAGCTTAAATTTGAAAAGATATTTTACCTGTGATCATTTTTTCTTAGAATTATGGGGGCTTAAAGATTGCCAATTTGGCCAATTTCGGACAATTAACGCGAGATATATTTCGCGTTATTAACGCGTACGCCGAGATTTAATCCGACTTAGAAATCGTTCCAAGTTGGTTGAAAGAAGCTTATTTGCCATATTTGATTTGTTAAAAAGAACCTAATTTATCCTTTTGTACTTTAGATGGCGTATGGGGGGATGGTTTTCACAACAAATCTTAAATTTTAGAGAAAAAAAATTTCATTTTGTTTTATTACATTTAATTTTTTTATGTTATTACTGCTCCATTGACCTTAAAATGCAGTCGGAACATTCAGGGCTTTGCCCTGATACAAAGAATCTTGTTCGAGTTGTAAGGGAATGGAGTTCTCTTCCACTACACTTATCCCACAAGATTCTTTGAAGTTTTGTTTCACACGCAGTGATAAGTCAATCCTACTCAAAATTTGAGTTAATTCAAATATGCGCTTCCCACTGCAATTCTTCCTATTTTGAGTCTAACTATTTGGCAATCGAAACTTTTCTAAAGGATATGAACAAAATACAAACCAGACTGGTTGTATCAGGGCGAAGCCCTGAATGTTCCGACTGCCTTTTAAGGTTCACGGAGCAGTAATAACAATAAAAAGTTAAATGTAAGAAAATATAATGAAATTTTTTCTTCTAAAATTTGAGATTTGTTTTGAAAACCATCCCCCACATGCCATATAAAGTAGAAAAGAATCAATTTTGCTTCTTGTAACAAATCAATTTTTGCAAATAAACTTTTTTCAACCACCAACTTGGAACGATTTCTAAGACGGATTAAATCTCCGCTTACGCGTTATTAGCGCAAAACATATCGCGCGTTAATTGTTCCAAATTGCCCAAAATGGCAATTTTAAAACCCCCATAACTTTACAAAAAATAATCACAGGTAAAATATCTTCTCAAATTTAAGCTCAAGACAACAATAACTTTCGAATGATAAAAAAATTTCCGTCAAAAATGGCTAGTTAAAAATTCGAAATTTGTGTGAAGAAAAAAAAACCCACCCGAGCACAATTATTCCTTTACCTTTGTATCGAAATTCGGAACAAAAATTGGCTTCCGAAGTTGAACTTTAAAGACCAACAAAAAGGCGTTTATCTGAAATTGAAAATTTTAGCCTCATCATCGATGTAGCTTTTTTTCGGCGAGCATCTGTTTATTAGTTTATTCGACGTAAAAATTCTGGATCTACCTATGAGAAGCAAGTTGGCATGTTAGGAAAGGGGCTAGTTTTTTTTAGCAAACGGAGATTTTACCAGACAAAAAAATGCATTTCCATGATAAGAAAGAACAGCAGCAAATTTTTTAACTTCTAAAAGTTCATATCAGCAAACATCACTTTTAAGCAGAAAATTTAATGGCATCGATAAATCAATTTTATGCCGTTCCAAATTTCAAATTCGAATAACTTCGCATCAAGTTATATGCAGTTACGGGATGTAGAAAGTGCAACTTTTGGTTTTCAGGCAACAGAATTACCGAAAATATTTTCACGTTTGTGCCGTTTTCTCTACAATTACATAATATTCACGTCTGAAACTTTGACATATGATGCTTGAAACTGTTTTTTAAAAACATCACCGAATAAACAGCTGTAAAAAGTGTTTAAAAGTCGGCCATTTAAACAGAGAGTGTCAGGGAGGTATTCTCAGTGCCGAAAAATTCCGTAAAAACAGTTTGAAATGCTGGACTAGGAAGTATTCGTTGGAAAGCTGACGGTCTAAGCAAGGCCCTCATTTAAAAAAAACCTGATTAAGCTCTTAGAAGGAAAACTACAATAAATTCAGCAACTTGTTTGGTGAAAAGCCAAAATCTGAGACAAAAATTGTTTTGAAGCTGAGTACTTTTTGGTATTACTTTGATAGCAAGCAAAAATTGCCTTGCATAGATCCTTCGTTTTCCAACGAACACTTTTAAGTCCAAATTTTTAAACTGCTTTGCTGTTTACAAAGCTTTTGGCACTGAGAACAACTCTCTAACGATTTCTGAATAAATGGTCAAACAACCCTTCTTAAGTAATTTTTACGATTATTTATCCGGCTATAACTGAAAGAACAGTTTCATCCATCATATATCAAAGTTTCAACTGTGAATATTATGTAGTTGCAGAGAGAACGGCCCAGAGGTGAAAAATGTATGTTCTTTTCATCGCACGAAAACTCAAACTTGCAACTTCTATTTCTTTTGACTGTATTTCTGCCTAAAAATTGTATAGCTACAGTGCTGGAAATTTTCGAAGATCGGTTTCGTTTTTTAATTGTCCAACATCGAGCGCATTCACTGTTTTTATCTCGGAAAATTTTGATAGGATTATATTTATTTTTATATAATGCAAATATCATGGATATGTTGCTTCGTAGATCTTGAAAGATCTTGGTAGGAGCTTGCAAAGAAATCCGAGTTGCTCAAACGATTGTAGAAAGTGATTTTTGCACTTTTAACAATCAAAAATTTTGCCTAGATATCTAAGGTTACTTGATTTTGAAAAACTTGAATTTTGTAGTTCCAAATTTGCATAGTGCAACGCCAAAAATCCAATTTACTGTGGTAAAATTTTTTAAAAGTTAATTTTTGAGTCAAAAATGCATATATTTTTTTCGAAATTTAATAAAATTTTTTTACTTATTTTGAGCTCAAAATCTGATTGAATATGCAGTTATTATATTCTCCTATAATGTATCTTTAATTTAACTCATCTGGTGAAAATCCGAAGTCTAACCTTCCTAGGTGACTTTTTTGAATGGCAAAAAATTACTGGATCAAATTTCTTTGATTATTTTAATCAAGATTTGTCAAACATCTTGCCAAGATTTTACGACTGTTTCAAAGAATTTTGTATATTCTGGCAGATAACCATGCAAGTATTGCACAATCCTGCAAGGTAACGTGTCAAGATCTTGCATGGTTTTGGCAACATTTTGCAATATTTTTGCAACTTTTTCCAAATCTAGATCACTGGGTCTCCTGATAAATTATATTGTTTTCACTTCCTGAGTTTCAACTTACGGTTTGATCCAATTTTTTATTTGCTTTTTTGCAATTGTTGGAAAGTCATATGATTGATCGAAACAAAATCAACAACTGAAACAAAAAAAATTAGAATCCCCAAAAATTCCAATCAGCAAATTCAAATTCAAATTTTCATTATTGATTTTTTTATGCGTACTGTTGAAGTTTGTCTTGTAGTCTGAAATTGTTTTTTTTCCGGGATGCCTTGTTTTTCAAAAAAGATGCCCAGTTTTCTGCATTCTAAAATTATTTTGAATTGATTTTTGTGATTTGCTCTTCAGAGCCCAAATAGCTTCGTTTTTCATTTTTTATCGTTGATCCGAAATATTTTGAGAGCTTGCTGTGGCAAAAGTATTTAATTTAAATTATTACTAAAATTGGACAAAAAAAAACATGTGCTCAATTCTATATATCTTATGAATTTGACTGTAAGAAAGTAAATGTCACTGAACTCCATTTTGAGCAATTTGTGTGCTCTTTTTGATGGGAAGGTGGGCGAAATTTGAAAAACCAAATAGCGCTTAGCAATTCCCGTATTCATATGCACATACGTGTAGAATTTTACGTTCTTCCGATTATTATCCTACGAGGAGTTTGAACACAGAAAAACACACACACACACGCACGAACACGAACACATACCCGAATACACAAAACTTCTTTTTTGTTATTATTAAATGAATAGATTGGTAAAACTAGCAATTTCTTATTGAAAAAGTATCGCTCAAATTTTGTAATCTTAGGACATCAAAATTTAACAGATGGTTAATGAAAACAGAAAAACATCGAAAGTCGGATGAAAAATCCGATAAGACATAGTATACTATACTTTGCAATAGAAAATTAATTTTCATGAGGATAGTCTAAAAAACCAATTCGAAGCAAGATCAGTTATTATATAAATTTTCAAAATCATGTTTGTTTAGAGTCCCAAAAATTTAGGAAAATTAGGATCTTCTGATTTAATCTACCGCTTCCTTCGCATTTTTTAGTCTAGAGATTAGCCTCTCTTATTGTAAGAAAACAGACTTTCCATATCGTTATTAATTACTTTTGTTCTTATTTAAGGATTTTTTCATATCAAAAAATATCTTCAATTTTAATCAAAAGTAGTCGGCAAACGTCACGTAGATTGTTCAGTAGATTAAAAAAAACACAAAAAGCAACTCGTTGACTGCAAAAAATGTGTTGATTTGTTATACACTCCATGACCTGACTTCATTTAACCATACTGACCTCAATAGAATGTTGAGTTTGTTTTGGGTTCAAGTGTATTCCAGCCCGATGGTGGAAAAAGTATAGAGATATTTGATTTTCTCTGTGCGAATTTATCAAATGGATTCAAAATGGCGGAGGCGCGAAATATTCGATAACAAACTTCTTAGTGATGATTGCAGGACATGACCTCAATTGCTGATTATCCAATATTTATCTCTAAAACCAACCGATACATAACCTCAAATGTTTCTCAACAGTTTATCAAGGGGCGCAAAATGAAGTTCAATTCAAATTCACTAAAGTTCAAGTTCTTTTATCTGCAAACGATTAAAAAATTCTTTGTTCTGTTTATAAATTTATGAAAATGTACTACCGATAAACTTAAATATTGTGCCGATTTTTCGGCCAATAGAATTAGTCCAAATCCGAAATACAACAATTTGTTTCACTACATTGAAACAGTCTCAAAATTGCCGCCAGTGGCTTTAACAAAAATGCTTACAGAAAAAAATGTTCATGAAGGTTCCGACCATATTCATTAACAAAAAACTAAAAAAACAAAAGGATTTTCCCCCATTTTCTTCAAATAAGTGTCGTTTTTGGTGCGTGGTATAATTCGAGAAATATGCAAACACGTAGAAATTTGGGCATTAACTGTCAGTGACCAACAGAAAAATGATTTCAAAACATATAAAAACATAGAAAACAAGGAGCGCCGGTTGCATTGCTCATAAAAAACCAAAAAGTGTTTTTTAATTGGATTTTTTTTCTTCAAATTAGTGTCGTTTTCAGTTTGTGGTGAGACTCGAAAACTACAAAGCGCGCAGAAAGTTAGTGAATTAGGCAATATCGCAACATTTTTCTTCAAAAAAGTGAATACCTTTAAAAAAAGATTTTATATTATTCAACATTCAATTTTTATTCTCCGAGCTCTCCCACAAATTTAGAAGTTCAATTTCAGTGTTTTTGAGAAGTTTTTGAGAAGTACTTGTCATACCGGGTGTGGGGAAGAAGAAAAAAAAATAGAAAATTTTTCAGTTTTAATTTTTTTTTTGTTAATTTTTTGTTTACCATTACCATTCAGAGCTTTTCCTTTAATTGAGCACCCAGTTCGAGGTCCCAGACTCATGTCCAGACTTTGAAGGTCGCGCCGCATTCAGATTTAGACCCAAATTGCTTAACCGCGCCGAAAGTTTGAGTCTGGAAAGTCTGGACATGAGTCGCGCCGTGGACCGCGAAAGCCTGGACTTACCGAAATTTGGTCACCAAACTCTGGAAATTTAGTCGCGAAACTCGAAAGTCTGGGCATACAAAAATTTGGTCGGGAAAGTCTGGAAATGAGTCGCGAAAGTCTGTGGCCAGACTTTCGCGACCCACGTCTAGACTTTCGCGACCAAGTTTTGGTATGTCTAGACTTTCTCGGCCCACGGCGCGACTCATGTCCAGAGTTTCCTGACTTAAACTCTCGGCGCGACTATGCAATTTGGGTCTGAATTCGGATGCGGCGCGACCCTTGGCGCGACTCATGTCCAGACTTTCCAGACCTTATGTCCAGACTTTCCAGACTTAAACTCTCGGCACGACTATGCAATTTGGGTCTAAATCCGGATGCGGCGCGACCCTTGGCGCGACTCATGTCCAGACTTTTCAGACTTAAACTCTCGGCGCGACTATGCTATTTGGGTCTAAATCCGGACTTTCCAGAGTTTCCATACTTAAACTCTCGGCGCGACTATGCAATTTGGGTCTGAATCCGGATGCGGCGCGACCCTTGGCGCGACTCATGTCCAGACTTTCCAGACTTAAACTCTCGGCGCGACTATGCTATTTGGTTCTAAATCTGGATGCGGCGTGACCCTTGGCGCGACTCATGTCCAGACTTTCCCGACCTTAAGTCCAGACTTCCAGACTTTCCAGACTCAAACTCTCGGCGCGACTATGATATTAGGGTCTGACTTCGGATGCGGCGCGACCATGGCGGATATGGCGCAATTTTTGCGACCAAGGCGGAGAAGGCGCGACTTTCCAGACTAAGGCGAGACGGCACGACTTTACCGACCAACCTGGGGACGGCGCAACCAAGGCGGAGACGGCGCGGCTTTCCAGACCAATGCGGAGACGGCGCCAATTTCCAGACAAAGGCGAACGCGGCGCACTTTTCCAGACCAACTCGGTCGGAGTCCAATTTTTGTCGCAAGTTAAGACGGTCGAACGAACACTATAGTCGAACAAAGTCGAATCATGGGTCGAACATGGTCGAATCATGAGTCGAACAGGGTCGAATCATGAGTCGGACAGGGTCGAATCATGGGTCGAACAAGGTCGAATCATGAGTTGAACAGAGTCGAATTTTTATATGAGTCGAACAGGGTCTAATCATGAGTTGAACACGGTCGAATCATGGGTCGAACACGGTCGAATCATGAGTCGAACAGGGTCGATGGAGTCGAACAGGGTCTAATCATGAGTCGAACACGGTCGAATCATGGGTCGAATCGGGTCGAATCATGAGTCGAACAGGGTCGATGGAGTCGAACAGGGTCAAATCATGAGTCGAACAGGGTCGAATCATGAGTCGCACAAATTCGCAACATGGGTCGCACAGATTTGCAACATTGTTAATTTGGGTCGCGCAAAGTCGCAACATGAGTCGCGCAAAGTCGCAACATGCGTCGCGCAAAGTTGCAACATGAGTCGCGCAAAGCTTTAGTAATGGAATTGTTGTCGGCTTTTTTGCTTGTGTAAGCGTTATACAGATGCAGATTACAAAATCATCAAGTATATATGTTTTTATTGCGCAGTTAGCTAGATCAACATATTTGCTGATCAAATACAGGACCACCACGAGAAGGCCTACACTTGGTCCCTACGTAATATAAGCAATCTTTTTAGGGCAACAACAAATTCGTAGCCTCAAAAATTGAAAGCCATTTAAATCAAACATATATCAGAAAAATTCAATGAATATTAACAAAAAAGACGACAAGTTTGTAGCATTTTCTATTATATTTTGCGGCTGCCCAGGTTGAGTTTGTTGAAACACTATTCGACAGAAACGGCCAAATGATGTCCGAGTTTTGCTGTAGTTCAGGACGCTTCGACTCATTCCCGGTAAAAGCGAAAAATTTCAAACAATGTCCGGTAAAGTCTATCAAAGTCGAAAACGGGCATCGTTGGACTGAAAAAGTCTAAATCGGACATCGTTCGACTGAAAAAGCCAAAAACGGACATCGTTAGACCGTTTCGGTCAATTCATGAGAGAACTGGAAAATGGCACCGTGTCCACATCGGTCGCGAGGAATTGATTCTTGGTCGCGCCGTCTCCGTCTTGGTCTCCAAAATTTCGCCATTTCCGCCTTGGTCTGAAAGTTGCGCCGTATCCGCCTTGGTCTGGAAAATCGCGCCGTCTCCGCCTTGAGCTGGAATGTTGCGCCGTAATCGCCTTGGTCTGGAGAGTCATGCCGTCGCTACTCTGGTCTGGAAAGTCGCACCGCAACCACCTGAGTCGCGAGGAATATAAATCCTGGTCGCGCCGCCTCCGCCTTGGTCTGAAAAATTGCGTGGTCTCCGTTTTGGTCTGAAAAGTTGCGCTGTCTCCACCTTGGTCTGGAAAGTCGCGTCGTCTGCGCCTTAGTCTGGAAAGTCGCACCGCCTCCACTCTGAACGCGAAAGTCGCGCCGCTTCCACTACGTCGCGAAAAACTTGAAAGTGCCATTTCTGGTCGCGCTGGCCAGGCCGGTCGCGCCGTTGCTTTTTGAGTCGCGATGTATCCACCTTGGTCGCGAAAGTCGCGCCGTCTCCCTATCGGTCGCGAAAGCCCTGCAATTTTTTTTTTAAAGTCGCGCCGTCTCCATGTTGGTCTGAAAAATTGCGTCTCCATCTTCGTCTGGAAAGTCTGGAAATAACTAAGTTTGATCGCGCCGGTCACGCCGTTTCCGGAGCCGCAGGGTCGCGCCGTATCCGCCTCGGTCGCGAAAGTCGCGCCTGAGTTTTTCAGTCGCGAAAGTCTGGAAATGGCAACTCTTGTTCGGGAGAGTCTGGACATAGCAAATATGAGTAGCGATGTTTTGGTCGCGCCACCTCCGCTTCGGTCGCGGAAGTCGCGACGGATCATTATGGTCGCGAAAGTCTGGAAACGCCAGATTTGGTCGCCAAAGTCTGGACATGCCGAATTTGGATCTGGAAAGTATGGACATGCCAAACTTTTGTCGCGAAAGTCTGGACATGAGTCTTGGACCTCAACCCGGGTGGTACAACTTACAATCATTTCTTACTGGTCAAGCCTAAAGAATTTTGTATTCCCCCTTCTTCCAAAAGGGAGGATTCGTTACAAGGTACAAAGTTCGCATATGTTTAATTGTTCAACTCTTTCTTTATAGGGGAGAAGGTAATTGTCACAAGGTACCATAGAGGGGCGGGAATTGTTAATAAGATCCAGAATTTCTATAGGTGCCAATATATACCGTTTTGAGTCAGAGCCAGCCAAAACTGTGATCAAAATTACTTTGCGATTTTTGGTCAGAACCTTGAAACGAAGATTGAACTTATAGTCCCACCCAAAGTGGTTGTGATCTTAACAGCTGTCGTTTGTGACCAAACATTTCCGCCCCTAAAACCCAGTCATTTCCGTCCCAGTCCTCCGCTACAAAAGCAGTTATTTCCAGAACTGACTGTTTTTGGGGCGGAAATGAGTGGGGGAAATGACTGGGAGCCGCTCTAGTCGCATTGACCGGAAATCACTAGTCTAAACTCTCTTTCTCTAATTTATTTCTCTCGGTTTTTTGCGTTTAAATTTTCGACTGACCAGAGCTGAGCATTTTTTAAAACTAGTTAGAAACAATTATCAGTTGAAGGTTGCGCAGTCCTGATTGCTGATTGGTTGACAATTATTTTACGTCATTCTAGGCAAAAATGATTCCATTCATTGATTTCAATCAACCGTTGCCCTGAAGATCAAAAAACTAAACATAACTTATGTGCAATTATTTTTTGAGGTTTTTAAATTGCAAGTTAATATTTCGGATCCATTAACGGTGTCTAATGCAACAAGATGACGCAGTTTTGAAGCAAAGAGACTTCATGCTACAATTTGAAAATTTTCAGCGCAACAAAACATTTCAAAATGATCAAAAATTATGGTCATAAAAAAGCTCATAAAATTTGTTGGAGAAAATACATTTACAAATGTAACATCCACAT